TTATTAGAAAAATAGTAAAAAACCGGTTTTAACCGTTATTTCATTTCGGTTCACGAAAACGAAAACGATATTTTTTGGGTGTGAACGAAAAGAACGAAAACGAAATTTTTCGTTTTCGTTCTGATCGGAAACGAACAAAATACTTTTCGTTTTTAGTCCCTGGTTAGCATACAACGAAATAAAACTAGATTTGATATTAAAATACGTTAGTTTCATTAAAATTAAAACTCAAGACCGTATATGTGAGTGGTTCTCCCTTGTCAATGGCCGAACACCCTCTGTGGAAAGAATTTTTTAAACAACTGCGACCCATCTTTCCATTACCAAACAGAAAGCAAATTTTAATTACTTTTCTGGGCAGAAAATACAACGATATGAAGAAGCAGATTAGCGTGCAGTTGGAAGAAGCTCAACATTTGCATTTGCAGTGTGATTGCTGGAGCAATATGCGCAATGAAGGTGTTATCAATTTCGTTATTACAAAACCTGAGCCGTTCTTTATCGAATTTTTGCTAACCAAAGCAAATAGACATACTTCGGAATACACTAGAGACGAAATAGGGAAAATATTAGAAAAATATGGACCAGTCCACATTTTTTTTGTAGTGATTGGTGATAACGCGGCCAATATGACAAAGGCGTTTAGGCTACTTTAAGAAATATATCCTCATTTGGTACCTTTAGGTTGTTTGGCATACCCACTGTATCTTTTATGCAATAATATTTTAAGTTCTCCCTTAATCAAACAATGTATTATCCAAATATCCGATGTTATAAAAAGAGTGAAAATCTTTTCATCAAGTTTTCTCTGCTTTATATCTCAAATAAATAGCAGCAAAAATTGCAACATAAGCCTTAAATTACCTTACAAGACTCGTTGGGATAGTTATTTAATCAGCATTGTAAGTCTCCTCGCAAACAAAGTTGGTTTACAGACATTAACTGTACATGAAAAAGCTATCACTCTAACTAAGAAAATAAAATCTCTTGTTGGACGACGATCGTTTTGGCCGTAGATCATAATCTTACGTGACATTTCGAATCCAACGAAGTGACATTTTGAAGTTCTTGAGAGAAATTAGCCTTTAATTAATAAGGTAGATAATGCTCGTAAAGAAATTAAGTCTGATGTCATCAATAAACTTACTGATTTTTTGAGTGATGATGAAGAACTTGATTAAAAATATTATATAATATATAAAGACCTATACACTTGGCTGCTACAATGTTAGATGCAACCTCCAAAGGGTGCAATCTCTGTCACGAAGAGGAAATTGCCGCTATTAAATTTATAAATACTGTAGCCAAGCAAATTAAACTAAACGTTACGGCTGATTTGGTAAAGTATAAGTCTAATGAAGGTTTGTGGAGTAGAGCTTTTGTATGGGAAAATACNCGGCCGAATCAAATTGCAAAAAGTAAAGTTATTTATAAACCTTCAAAACAGACAAATCCAAATTTGTAAAAATATACAGGGTGTTCCATTTAAAAAAATAAAGTAGGTGGCGACTTCCGGTATAACCGGAAGTGCTAGAAATCTGAAAATTTTAGATGAAGAGAACGTAATTGATAATACTTATGTCTGCATTCTCAAATTTTTTGTTTGGCCAGAACCCCAGAAACGTCTAATGACCGGTCTCGCTGAGACACCCTGTATAAGAATATGATAAGCTTGAACCAAGAGTAATAATCTTCGTTCAAGAATATATTTCTCTCTGTGTAGGCAATATAAAGATTCAAATGGAAAAATTAGGAGAAGGAGTTCATCGCAGTCTGTTTTTATACGTTCTTTGCAGAATAGCGAAACATTAAACAGAACGTGGTTAATATATTCTCAAAAAAATCGTTGTACTGTTTCGTCTGTCCTCTCTTTTTTCTTATGCTATACTTACAAAATTTAGTATATCCGAAGGACACACTGATTGGAAGCACATTCAAGAAAATATTTCCGCTCACGAAAATAGTTCAGATCACAAAAAATGTGCAATAACTTATACTCTAAGAACAGGAATGTTGATACTATTGACACAGTTCTACTTTCACAACACAACACTGAAGTACAGTACTGGAAGGAAGTACTAAAAAGGATTATGGCTATGATAAAGTTTTCAGCTTCCCATGGATTTGTATTTCGCTGCGAAAATCAATGAATACGGTCTAGTTTCAACTTTTTTTCAAAAAAGAAGTCCGCGAGAAACGCAAGCAGTTTTGGATTCATACCTTGATAGAGAATTAAACAAAAAAGACATAGTAAGTACAAATTTAATAAACAAGTTTATACCAAAAATTAAAATAATATAGAGAATATATATTTAATCTTTGTTTGTGATACCATAACAGATCATTAAAGAAAACATACTTTATTATTTTTTATTTACTTATATTTTTTATATTAAGGTAACATTTTTTTGTAGGACAAACTTCATCGTTCTCTTGCCAAGGCCATATATGTGACTGGTTCTCCCTTGTCAATGGTCGTATACCCTTTGTGGAAAGAATTTTTTAAACAACTGCGACCCATCTTTCCATTACCAAACAGAAAGCAAATTTTAACTACTTTTCTGGACAGAAAATACAACGATATGAAGAAGCAGATTAGCGTGCAGTTGGAAGAACCTCATAATTTGCATTTACAGTGTGATGGCTGGAGCAATATGCGCAATGAAGGTGTTATCAATTTCAAAACCGTTATTACAAAACCTGAGCCGTTCTTTGTCGAATTTTTGCTAACCAAAGCAAATAGACATACTTCGCAATAGTCTAGAGACGAAATAGAGAAAATATTAGAAAAATATGGACCAGTCCACATTTTTTTTGTAGTGATTAGTGATAACGCGGCCAATATGACAAAGGCGTTTAGGCTACTTTAAGAAATATATTCTCACTTGGTACCTTTAGGTTGTTTGGCACACATACTGTATCTTTTATGCAATGATGTTTTAAGTTCTCCCTCAATCAAACAATGTATTATCCAAATAACCGATGTTATAAAAGGAGTGAAAATCTTTTCATCAAGTTTTCTCTGCTTTACTATCCGAAATAAATAGCAGCAAGAATTGCAACATAAGCCTTAAATTACCTTGCAAGACTCGTTGGGATAGTTATTTATTCAGCATTGAAAGTCGCCTCGCAAACAAAGTTGGTTTACAGACATTAACTGTATATGAAAAAGCTATCACTCTAACTAAGAAAATAAAATCTCTTGTTGTACGACGATCGTTTTGGCCGCAAATCATAATCTTACGTGACATTTTGAATCTAATGAAGTGACATTTTGAAGTTCTTGGGAGAAATTAGCCTTTAATTAATAAGGTTGATAATGCTCGTAAAGAAATTAAGTCTGATGTCATCAATAAACTTACTGATTTTTTGAGTGATGATGAAGAACTTGATTAAAAATATTATATAATATATAAAGACCTATACACTTGGCTGCTACAATGTTAGATGCAACCTCCAAAGGGTGCAATCTCTGTCACGAAGAGGAAATTGCCGCTATTAAATTTATAAATACTGTAGCCAAGCAAATTAAACTAAACGTTACGGCTGATTTGGTAAAGTATAAGTCTAATGAAGGTTTGTGGAGTAGAGCTTTTGTATGGGAAAATACAAGCCTGGCATCGATGAGCCAATTGTCGTGGTGGAAAGGACTCTGCAGCAGTACTACATTAAGCAAAATTGCTATTCGTATTTTGTTAGCACCAGTCACATCAGCAGCAACTGAAAGATCATTCAGCTGGATACACAGTAAAAGATGCAATCGTCTTGAATGAGCAAGACACATATTGTGTACAATTGGAAATTAAACAACAATATATCAAGTAAAAATGGCAAAGAACCTGATGCAGACAGAAAAAATGATAACGTGGAAAAAAGAAAACTTTTGGAAATTTGTAACTGATTCAGAATCTTATTCTGAAGCAGAATCAGAAGATCTGTAGATTTTAAAATAGCTTTTTGTGAATATTAAAATAAAGATCAATACTTAAATGTTATAGTTGTCCATATTTTTAGTGTTTTATTTTGTTAAGTTATTATTTTTGTTGTTATCTTTACTTACTTAAGCAACAGAAACTCGAAATTAAAAAAGAACTGCGCAAAAGAATTTCCACCTTTAATGCTGTACAGAAATGTTGCAATATAATCACGTTTAAAAGAATATAATTGATAAACATCGATTGCCAAGGTCATTTAATTTGGAGAAGTATCGATTTGAAATGCAAAGGTGCAATAAGTTCGGCTTAATGATTGAACAACAAACGTCTTGTGAAGTTGAAGAAACGTTTTACCAGAAAAACGATTCCAATAAGGTTCACCTTTTCGTTAATGATTAGATCGTCCAACTTAAACCATCAAATTACACTTTTAGTCTAGATTTATTGTCAGTGTTGTAATCTTAACAACAATTACTGAATGGATTAACAGATTCAAGGATTATTTAAATCTGTCAGTGAAGGTGCAAAGAGTGAAATAATGTTATCAATTTTGATTAATATAACTAAGTGCAAAGTTTTCTATAAAAAATACTTTCTGTGCTGTTCCGATATCGTTCCTCGTAACATGGAGAATATTTTTCTTTTAAGATCATGTATGATCTTTAAACCATGTACATCTATTCTTTGTGCTTAGCCCCTCGATTGTCTCTAATACATAAAATCGACAAATAAAAAGTTATTTTTTCTAAAAGATATAAACTATTGCAGATAAATTTTAATAATGTTTTAATGTAACATCACGTACAACATAAGATTTCATGAAAGATGAAAAAAGAATCATTAACAATTTTTTTATATCCCTTCTCGTTTACTCACGAAGATTAAAAACATCAATTTTCATATAATATATGAATTATTTTAAATCATCAAGTTAATTTCATTTCGTTAATTTTTTTTAAATTCCTCTAACATTCAAAAACTAATGTAAATTGAGTAATCTAAAAGTCGAGATAAAAATTTTATGACTACTATTACATCGATAACAAAAAATATGAAAATAATTACCTCTTTTTTTAGACCTCAATAATCCAAAGATCAAACATAAATCCAAAAGTCCCCCAAACGCAACGAATCCAAAATAAAAAAATATAACCCAAATGGGTAATTTTTCTTCAAAAACCGTATTATTTCCATCTTCAGATCCGTTAACAGTTAAAATCGGATTAAAATCGACTGCGGTGCCGTTTTGAACGGTATCGTTAAAGGCGTCTTCCATCGCGCCGTACAATAAACCTTTTAAAACTGTTGTCACATTGCAATCAAAATCGATTAACTTTAGAAACAAGCCGAGTTGTTCGGTTGTCCGAAGAGACGACGACGAACGTTCAACTCTTCAGTACGCGTTGAGCATACTAAAAGAGAATCGGAGGAAGGATTCTCGTCGTTGTCGTCGTCGGTGGCGACGTCGATGTTTGATAAGAGCAAAAGGACGGCTCGTATAGCTCAGTGTAGCGCGACCTTTGTTATTCTTAGCTACTGGTTCGGATACATTTTTTTCTTCATCGCCGCCTGACGAGAGAGCATAAACAAAGGGAAATGAGAGAGAGTGCATACGATATGGATGATGGTAAATTGAAGGCCTTCAAGTAGCCAGATGTAGTATACGTATTTGGAACACTTGTTTCGACTTTTGTGGTGACTTTTTTATTCGTTTCTTTGTACCAGTTCTTTGTACGCAATATGGTGGTTTCGAAATTTTAAATATGCGTGTGCAGACGTCAGTTTCAGTTAAATAAAGAAGTTACTTTGTGTAATTAGATATAACAAAAAATAAATATTAAAAATTTAAACGAATTCCAATTCAGCGAAAGAATTTGAGTCTGAATGAAATATTTCTACAATAAATAGCAGTAAAGACAAGGAGTGTTATTTTTAAGTAGGTCTTATTTTAAATCAGTCTGCGAACCAAAAGGCATTTAAAAAATCCTTTAGATTATTTTTTCCGTTCGTCAACATTTCTTGTCGTTCTTTCTTTTTGTGCTGTTGGGAAAAGTAAATGCAGTGTGTCGTTTATTTAAATAGTGCAGTCGTCTTTTCCAGAAATAAGTTAGGTTTTAAATAGACGAACTTAATGTTGGCTACGTGTTCACTAAGGGGTTAATTAAAGACACAGATTATTTCAATCTTAAAAATGTAGCTTTTCCATAAAAAAGAATTTTCTCAAATTACTTTGACGTTATGATAAGTTTTTAGAGTAACATAGAAAAATAATTCTCAGCATGAATTGTTTAATGAATAAAACAATGCCTTTATGAAACAATCTGGTGATAAGAAATCAGAAAGTTTTTTCTCATAATACAAAAAAGAATTGAATAAAGTTAAAAGAAGCAACAAATAATGCGATTAAACTAATTAGTGCGATAAAAATGGCACTAAATAATATTGACAAATTTTTAATCGAATTTAACTACACGAATTAAATATACAGGGTGTTTACGGTCTTGTGATTTTATTTTCAAGAGGTGCTTAAACATCCTAAAAGAAGGTTATTAACGTAAAAATGTTTTAACAAAGGTTGCATAATAAGATAAATATTACTGTTAAAAGTTTTTTGATTTAATTAATTAATTTGATTCAATAAATATAAAACAATTGCTATCCAGTGCCCATTGCTTAACTAACGAAAGCAAAAACATCTTTTCTGATTGGAGTGAAGTTAGCGAGGACTTTTCAGCGATGGATTTGTCAATTTCACCACGGTCGCAAATCCGTCGCTAAGATTTAAACGCACAGTGAAACGGATTGAACATAGAAAATATGATCATGTTGTGTTAAATGAATGTTACGAAGGTCACTACCTGCTGTTTATCCCAGAATTCCAGAATAAATTTTGAAACTGCTAATAAAATAAGGTAAAAACGTTTCGGCTTTAAAAAGAAATAAAACCATACAGCTTCGACATCCCTAAGTTGATCTTTGTTAAAATTAGAGTGCTTACATGAAGGGGTGTCAACCCCTAATAAAAATAAGTGGAATTCGCTATGTTAGGTAAAAAAAAATCCACCCTTTAGCCGTGAGTTGAAATTTGATGTGGATATAGCTTCGACATCCCTAAGTTGATTTTCGTTAAAATCAGAGTGCTACACATAATATTAGTAAATATCAAATTGTAACATTGACAACTAGAAAAATTAAAGACCCAATGTCACCAACTTGAACTGGTTCCATAAAATGTTACTAAAATCTCATTACAGCATCGGATGCTGTAAGGAGTCTCATTACAGCATCGGATGCTGTAAGGAGTCTCATTACAGCACCCGTTTGAGTACTGTTAGAGCTTTCATTACCGTCGCGAATTACAAAAACAATTTTACAATATTCTGTGGACATGAACGAATATTGTTTTTTTTTGTGGGTAAAACAACGAATACAATAGCTCCATCTGTTATAGTTGTAATAGAATGTATCACATCAAATGTGCCTACTGCGTCGAAGATTTTTACAAAAGCGACCAAACTTGTTATCTTTGTGTAAAATTTATCAACAAACACAAACAAAATTTCTGCATAATCTACCAACTTTTAGGTAAAGGTATAATTTTTTAGTCTTTATTTTTTTTTACCTTTCATATTTCAGTCATAACAACACTAAACTACGAACTGACTTTTTTAATTTATTTTCATATTTGTTTCTTTGTATTATATTAAGTTTTTGACTGTTATCATAGAAACTATTATTATTATTATTACTTTCATTTACAAAAAATTTCATTAATGTGTTTTATATATTATTTTTTTTTCCATATAACATAATGCGAATGTCAACTATTTTTATTAGGGGTTGATACCCCTTCATGTGTAGTACTCTAATTTTAACGAAAATCAACTTAGTTTGTCGAATTTTTATCCACACCAAATTTCAACTCAGCGACTCACGCCTAAGGGGTGGATTCTATTTTTTTTTCAACTAACGTAGCGAATTTCACTTATTTTTAGTAGGGGTTGGCACCCCTTCATATGTGGCACTCTAATTTTAACGAAAATCCACTTAGGGATGTCGAATTTTTATCCACACCAAATTTCAACTCAGCAACTCACGGCTAAGGGGTGGATTTTGTTTTTCTTTCCACCTAACATAGCGAAGTTTACCTATTTTTATTAGGGGTTGACACCCCTTCATGTGTAGCACTCTAATTTTAACGAAAATCAACTTAGGGATGTCGAATTTTTATCCACACCAAATTTCAACTCAGCAACTCACGCCTAAGGGGGGGATTTTATTTTTTTTTTCACCTAACATAGCGAATTTCACCTATGTTTATTAGGGGCTGATACCCCTTTATGTGTAGCACTCTAATTTTAACGAAAATCAATTTAGGGATGTCGAAGCTATATCCACACCAAATTTCAACTCAGCAACTCACGGCTAAGGGGAGGGTTTTATTTTTTTTTCACCTAACATAGCGAATTTCACTTATTTTTATTAGGGGTTGACACCCCTTCACATGTAGCAATCTAATTTTAACGAAAATCCACTTAGGGATATCGAATTTTTATCCACACCAAATTTCAACATAGCAACTCATGGCTAAGGGGTGGATTTTGTTTTTTTTTTCACCTAACATAGCGAATTCCACCTATTTTTATTAGGGGTTAACACCCCTACATGTGTAACACTCTAATTTTAACGAAAATCAACTTAGGGATGCGAATTTTTATCCACACCAAATTTCAACTCAGCAAATCACGGCTATGTGGTGGATTTTTATTATTTTTTTCACCTAACATAGCGAATTCCACCTATTTTTATTAGGGGTTGACACCCCTTCATGTGTAGACTCTAATTTTAACGAAAATCAACTTAGGGATGTCGAAGCTATATTCACACCAAATTTCAACCCTGTAACTCAGCTAAGGGGATGGTTTCATTTCTTTTTAAAGCCGAGACGTTTTTACCCTATTTTATTAGCAGTTTCAAAATTTATTCTGGAATTCTGGGTTAAAAAGCAGGTAGTAACCTTCGTAACATTCATTTAACACAATATGATCATATTTTTCATCTTCAATCTGTTTCCCTGTGCGTTTCATTCTTAGCGACGGATTTGCGACCGTGGTGGAATTGACAAAATCCGTCGCTGAAAAGTCGTCGCTAACTTCATCTATTTCCTGGCCTGATAGCTCACCTGATTTAACATCTCTTGATTTTTTCTTGTGGAGCATCCTTAAGGATAATGTTTATCGCGAAGTACCGACTACGCCAGAAAACATGAAAGAGCGGATAAGAAATGCATGCAGAAATAGTAGCCAGAAAAACCTTTTAAGATGTAAAGAAAGTTTTAGTAGAAGGTTTAATAAATGTATTGAAGTGTTCAAAGATTTGAACATTTATTATAAATTTTATACTTGTTGTTGATTACTAATATAGTTTAATCATTTTTTTATAAATGAACAATATTTAAAACTATTTGATTAAAAAAACTTTGTCGTGACCTTCATATGACCTTGAAAATAAGCTCAAGGTCAAAAAATGTTATCGTCATATGGTTTCCCCCTTCGCACATAACAACTTTTATTTAGTTCATTTTTATTTCGAGATAATCGCTTGTGTCACGTTAAATGGACCACCTGTATTCATCTACCTTGACTATGAGAAGGGGAGTCCTTTCGTATTATCAATACTGGCTACCATGCGGCGACATCGTACAGGTATTAAAATTAAAAAGTTTTAGATCAAATTATATCTGTAATAAAAGAAACATAAATGAATTATTAACACAAAAATGTTTTTAAAGGAAAAACGGGTTCGACAATTTATAAGCCGGTAAAGGCGCTTTAACTCAACAGTTTTTTTATAGTTTTTGTACTTTGAGTGAGCAATAAATTTATTATTATTATTAAAATATAACTTAAGTCGTGTTTATTTAAGGTTTATAACTTATTTAAACGACAAATTTAAGTAACTGACTTGGGTTAAAAAACAGAATATACAAATTAGTAGTAAAGAAGATATTTTTATTTCCTTATAATTAATATTATAATTAACAAATTAAATACAAAATATCTTATAAATTCGGAAAATAACTTACGAAGCATTATAATTAGTAGGTAAAGGACAAATAACATGCTTAATATCCCTAGTTTGTGTCTTTCTCAACGCGTCCGCAGCATGAGTCAATTGCAAGGCACAATCAGGATGTGCAGATCCAGGAAGTTGCGTACATTCCTGTTCAAAGATACTAGCCAACCCAGTTAACAACTCAATAAATCCCAATTGAATAGCGGCTTTTCTTAATCTATTCAATTCCTTATAAAATTGCTGTGTTTTCTCAGGTAATTTCCTCGCATGTCGTAAAATTTTTTGTATATCACTTTGTAATCCAGCCTGTCGTATCCAAACGACGCTATTCTGTGAGTAACTCCTTTTCTCAGTTGGTCGCACAGGAAAAGCAGTTACATTATCACTATTCATATTGTCGGCGCAATGTAACATGTTGAGATCGCCCAACCATGGAACGGAATCCGAACCTGGCATTAAAATTGTTAGCATTAAGTTGGATTTTTTCTTTGAATCTGCCCATGAGTAGATAAATCCAAACCAATTTTCCCCTATTGTAACCAAAGCGGCCATATTTTCAACTTTAAGAGCACCGTGGAGTAAGACACAAAAGGATGGGACTTTGCCTTCATCTGATTCATCTTCGGTTAAATCTATTTCTGGTTTTAAAGGTGCGTTATCTTTACTTGCTGGTAATATTAAATGTCTACTAATAGCCATTGGTGAACCTACGTCTGCAATGCTTATAAAACCGCATACTTCTACTGTTTGTGAAAGATTATATGTTTGGTAATCGAAATCAGTTATTTTTGTGTATGGCTAAAATTGAAAATTAAACGTTTATATTTATAAGATTTAAAAACAGAAAGAAAATATTACCACTGGTGCTGGTGATAAAATAACTTTAGATTCTAAATGTCCGCATTTTAAAGTACCTTTAAATGATGTATAACTTTCCTCTGCTAATTTTTGAAACATATTGCAAACTGTAACTTCGGTTAAATTCGTATCCGGGGTACAAATAGAACCATCATAACCACACATATCAATAAGTTCTTGATACATTGGTTTTGCTAGAAATTAATTAAATCTATTTTATTAAAATTAAATCTTTTTTATTTTTACCTTTTAATAGATTAGCATCATTCGGAGCAGCTATACAAACAATATGTAATTTTGCTGGAAATGAAAATGGTAAAGGAAATTGATTGTTAACGGTTCGTTGGTTTATTGTCGATAACGATTCTTTTAAAGAACCTGGACCTAATCCGGTATTTCCATCTGTAATTAGAATTACCTAAAAAATTTTTTTTAGAATGATAATTTTAATTTCGCATATTAATTACATGGCAAGCTGTATTGTTTCCCCATTCTGTAAGAACTAATTGATTCACACCATGAAACGCCGTTTCAATGCAAGTTTTATCCAAGTCTACTAAATTTAGGAGAGAAGATTTTACTAAGCTATAATCACGTGTAAAAGCACATTGTTCTTCAAAGTATGATGAGAACGTCATCTGAAATAATATTATTTTATTTACACTTAAAATAAAAATTAGATCCAGTTATCAACAAAACATAAAAAGAATTTACAACATAAAATCAAAATTTATCAGTATAATCCGGTCAGTGCTTTTAAAGTATTTATCGTGACAATAAAAAATCGCCAAGAATTTAAATGAAATATGCTAATTAAGAACATCCTCTTTTATAATTCAAGGTTTCAGCCTTAACCTTGCTGTAGAAATTAAAAGTTGCATTGCATATTGACGAAAATCATGATTTTTATCAAAAATAAATAAGACCAGTTTCCTTATATACTAATAATAAAAGAGATTTAGCATTCCATCTATAATATGCATATTTTCTATGCTTGTCATCAATAGCTATGATGCGGCGCAGACGAAAAACAAGATTCTACAAAATTCACTGATGTGTCGACACATTGTTTTCGATTTTTACACAGTCCGGAATACGAATAGGGATGTGAATATCAATTTGTTCGCCGAAAAGTAGAAAATACCCAACTGCGATTGAATAAAGCGGCATATTTTGTTGTATTTATTGTTTTCTTCGTTTATTGGTGTAGCGTTACCGTCACAGAACCCACTTGATTTTAAATTGAAATATTTGTTAAATCATTATACCATGGCGTTGTCATGAAAATTTGTTATTGTTTACATTTAGAATAAAACTTCAGTTCATTTTCATCATTTCATAACGAAACACGCATTTTTATTTTTTGTCCTTAAATGAGGTTATACTGGTGAATATTGTTTAAATTACAACCAGTAAACCTCAGTTGGGTTCACAGGTTAGAATAAAATACTACTACTATTTTTGTATGATTTGTTGTACCCCTGAGGAGTTATAGGCCTTCAAAGTTGGGTCTTAAATTTTTAAAACATTGAATATCTTCGTAATACATTAAGCTAGAAAAACCAAATTTGGTATACGTTATGAGTGTATCGAAGGTTGATTAACAGTGATGGTCCCCTAAATTTGGACAGATATTTTTAACCTTTTGGTGGATTTAATACAATATTACCTCATTTCATGTGGAATTTAATTCTAAAATTTTTTTTACTCTTATTACTTTTTAAAAAACATTGTCGTTTTCATAAAAAAACTCAAATATATTTAATACAAATATATTTTGTATTATTTTGTTTGTTTAGTTAACGGGGTAACGGGGGCTCCGTCCAATCGGAACAGATGGTGTGTCCCAGACAGTACGTCGCGCCTTTATCTTACCTACATAAAGTAATAAGGCGCGACGTCCTGTCTGGAACGCTATGTCTGGAATATCGAAAAAATAAAATATGCCACTCATTAAGAACACATCAGGCTACCACCTGTTCAAAATTCAATTTTTTCCGTACGGTAGTTATCGAGAAAAAAATCGTAAAGTTGACAAAGTTGCCGGTACCGTAAAAATTGGGTACTTTTTTCATTTAACTCGCGATAAAAAGAAAACCGTGGATCCGAAAATTTTCAAATCAACATACAGGTCGGTGTCTCAGCGAGACCGGTCATTAGTCGTTTCTGGAGTTCTGGCGAAAATAAAAATTTGAGAATTCAGATATATATTTATTATTTTCGTTTTTAATTATGTAAATATTATTATTCAATTACCTTCTTTTATTTTATAATAATACAATCACTAAATATTTTCTACTTACCGCATAATTCGTTTATTTTCTTACAGAAATTTCTTAATAGATGTTGCGACACTCTATTTTCTGNTAAAGGAGGTTATACTGGTGAATATTGTTTAAATTACAACCAGTAAACCTCAGTTGGGTTTACAGGTTAGAATAAAATACTACTACTATTTTTGTATGATTTGTTGTACCCCTGAGGAGTTATAGCCCTTCAAAGTTTGGTCTTAAATTTTTAAAACATTGAATATCTTCGTAATACATTAAGCTAGAAAAACCAAATTTGGTATACGTTATGAGTGTATCGAAAGTGTTAATTGGTATCAAGTTAAGACCAAGTAAGGCATGTATGTATGTATGTATGTAGAGGGGTGCGTAATTTTTACGCGCACTTAGGCCCCAGTGGGCCCCTTGTGCATACTCCCTTGGAGGCTCGAGATGGTAGAGAAGATCTCGTTAGATGATGTAAGGCATCAAGTAAGGCATTTCAAAGGGTTGATTAAGAGTGATGGTCCCCTAAATTTGGACAGATATTTTTAACCTTTTGGTGGATTTAATACATTATTACCTCAATTCATGTGGAATTTAATTCTAAAACTTTTTTTATTCTTATTATTTTTTAAAAAACATTGTCGTTTTCATAAAAAACTCAAATATATTTAATACAAATATATTTTGTATTATTTTGTTTGTTTAGTTAACGGGGTAATGGGGGTTCCGTCCAATCAGAACAGATGATGTGTCCTAGACAGTACGTCGCGCCTTTATCTTACCTACATAAAGAAATAAGGCGCGACGTCCTGTCTGGGACGCACCATCTGTTCCGATTGGACGGAACCCCCGTTACAACGCATAGCTTATTTCTGTTTCTCTTTAATTTGTAATTCCATTAAATCGCCCTTAAAAAATTAGGGAGCTCTAATTTTGAAAAACTGATAACGGGATCCGATAACCGGCATTATTTGATATAATTTGGTCAAATCCGCAAAGAAATCCACCCAGCCGTTTTCTACATAACGGCGTCTTACTAAACCACGATTTTCCGCGAAACTGTATGGAATATCGAAAAAATAAAATATGCCACTCATTAAGAACACATCAGACATTTTGAACAGGTGGTAGTTCAAAATTCAATTTTTTTTCGTACGATAGTTATCGAGAAAAAAATCGCAAAGTTGACAATGTTGCCGGTACCGTAAAAAATCGAGTACTTTTTTCATTTAACTCGCGATAAAAAGAAAACCGTGGATCCGAAAATTTTCAAATCAACATATATTACGTAGAAATGTTCAGTGATTAGAACAAACTTTGTCGCATCTCTAAAATGAGAGGCCTTGACTTTTTGCACGGATAGTAGTAAAAGTTTACATTTCGTATTTTTTATACAGGTGTCCCAATTTGTCCGCATAGGCTATCTTCGAAACTAAAAGAGATAGAAAGAAAGTAGCTTACATGTCATCATCTCGTTTTTCGAGAAAATACTAATGCCGAATACTCCGAACAGCTATCGTCTTTTGTTTTCGCCCTATCGGCAAAAACTGAAAAATTTGCGTGCTTTTAAATACATACATTAGTTTTAGATAGAACAAAATGAATTTTTGTTAATTATTCAATAACTATAAGAAATATACCCCACAAACTATATATATTTGTTATCAGAACAAAATAACAAATTATTTTAGATCATAGTCAACTATGGTTTCCATTTAAAAAAATAAAGTTACGTTTAAAATCTCGAAAATAAAAGATAGGAAGAAAATTCTACCTATGGCACTGAATTCTTCGTAAAAAGTTGCCCATATAATGTTTTATTTATAATACTCCATCTTTGAGATATAAAAAATAATAAGAGTAAGAAAAGTTTTAGAATTAAATTCCACATGAAATGAAGTAGTAATGTATTAAATCCGCCAAAAGGTTAAAGAAATCTGTCAAAATTTAGTGTACCATCACCCTTAATCAACCCTTTGAAATACCACAATTGAGTTCAATTTGTTACCAATTAATACCCTTGGTACACTCCTAATGTATACCAAGTTTGGTGTTACGAAGATATTGAACTTTTTAAAAATTTAAGAGCCAACTTTGAAGGCCTCAGGTGTACAACTTAGTATAGAGGTAAGTTACGTTAAATCATTTTAATTTATGGGCCTCTACATGTCCCTGCTCTGTGTCGGTTCTTATGTGAATCACCCTGTATATTATTCTTACGAAATAATTCTTAATTCCGTTTAGTCTAATTTTTAGATTATTAATGAAATATATATTTAAACATATTCATTTTCAATTTACGGTTTGAATAAGCATAACCATAACCTCACTACAAAAATAAAACGTTTCATAGTCAAGGTCAATTTGCGTTGATTACTTTTTTCATAACTTTAGTTACAGCAGGGTTAACTTACCAAAATCAACATAAACTTATAAACTAAAATAAATCTCTGATGTTTACTTTACATTGGTAATCTTTATTTTCATTTTTTAATACATCTTCCTCAGTTATTACATGGGCAGCACAGAATAACGTATGGATTACGTAATATTCGCAAAGATTTTCTTAAAACTTGTACATTCTTATATTACAAAATAAAAAGAATGAAAAGAAAAGAAGAAAAAAATGAAATTCGCCACGAATTAATTTACAATAATTAATAATAGTAAGTAATAAAAAATTTTATAAGAGAGTGAAGAATAAATATCTCGTAAATTAAACTTAATAAACTGGTTTTACAGTTTCAACAATTTGATAAGGACTAAAAATAGCATGCGTTATTTGGTCGCCCCGCCGGCCGTTTGGGCAGCTTTTTTCGCCTTGATGATCTCAACAAGTTCCTTGTATCTTTTCATACAGTCTTTTTTGGTACGTCCAGGTACGCAATCGGCTATTTTATCCCAACGTTCTTGCGTGCTCGCCGGATAAGTTTTTAACGCTTGTTCAAGTAATTGTTGTTCCTGAGTTGTCCAAGGTTTATCAACTTGTTTTAGTTCCCCATTAGTCATTCCGCCGTTTATCGCNTTATTTTCGTTTTTAATTATGTAAATATTATTATTCAATTACCTTCTTTTATTTTATAATAATACAATCACTAAATATTTTCTACTTACCGCATAATTCGTTTATTTTCTTACAGAAATTTCTTAGTAGATGGTTGCGACACTCTATTTTCTGAACTAACTTACTTCCGTATGGTTTTATTGCCAAAAGTTTTCGATGAACACTGCTATCACCATCCCCTACAAGTTTGAGGTATTTCAAACCATACATAGCAATGCTACATCGAAAACCTTCCACAATTATGTCACTCTCCATTGCTGTCGAGGTTCCTGTCCAATTTCGTGAGCAAACATGTTGTGGCGTGGTTTCCCCCTTCCTATCAGCCATGGTACAAATTGTACAATATTTGTTTCTTACTCCTAAATACAGGAGTTTAGACGTTCGCTGTCCGATAATACAGGCCTGTGACATGATGTATATATATAAATAAATTTTCATATCTGTCTTAAAATTGTGAAGTAACTTACAACCCCAGACGCAGCGTCATAGTTTAATCCGTAAGACCTTTTGCTGCAGGCTCCATCAGCAATTACAGTAATATATGGCACTCCGTCCTCATCTATATCTCCTGCTTCTTTAGCTAATTGCTTTTCTTCCTCTGCTGCTTTTTCCATTGAACTTGACGCTGTTTCATGAATAACATCGGCTACTTTACAAAATGCTTTTTTAAATGTTTCCTGTTGCATAATTGGTACTTGCAAAACATTTAAAAACTCTTGACATTGAGCGTAGCCAATTCCGGTTGAAATTGCACCCAATGTCGTTGCCTCGTTTATGTTCATCAGATCTGAGGTCTCCGAAGATGTCCCGATGCTATCCACTAAGCCACACAGTTTACATTGTAATGTAAAAGTACTTTTTAAACCTTTTCGAGTCTCTTTTATCAGAACCATATCAATTATACAACAACATTCGAAAGGTTTATGGCGCGGGTACGACAAAATTTGTTTTAAAATAAAACCCATGTCAACTACTCGCCGACCGATGGTGTTTAGATCATTTATTTGTTCAAATGTGTTTCCGTGGGTATTTATTTTACTTGTTTCTTTACTGAAATCTTTAATGCTGTTTGCTTCAGATCTTTCGTTTGATGTGTTGGTAATGTTGGTATCGTCCAAGTTTTCGTCATGTTTATGAGATGACAGTGAATCGTTTTTATAATTCCACCTACTCACATTTTTTAATGTATAATCAAATATATCAAATATAGACAGCAAAACTGAAGCTCTATGCGGAATAGTCATTTCAAGTCGAAATGAATTGACAAAGCCTTTTCTTATTGACTTTTGTAGTCGAGATTATTTTTTTTTAATTAAATATTGTAGATCGATAAGAAAAATTGTATTCTTTCATTTCAACTAAGAATAGACTGTTCTATATGAGATTTCAGTACATATTCAATAAGTATAAAATACCTTTGCTTTGCGGCTTTTTTTGCTAATAATCGTCTGCTACGTATTTTCCCCATTTTAATTAAAAAAAAAACACTAAAATATATAATTCTAACTAACAATCGATAATAATGAAATACTAGTAATAACAACTATGTAACAAGCGGCATTCAATTAAGAATAAAATTAACGTCGCTGATTGTCGGGGAATTACCCGACAATCGGACAGTCCTAGCCACCATCCGCCTGGCGCGTCAGCCCGGTCAGCCCGATCGAGTACACATGGAGCGGTGTTGCCGCATTAGGCGTGTTCATAAGTGAATCTCGTTTCGAATTTTTCGCCAGTTAGGTAGGCCTTTTAAGTATTATCAATTACGGTCTCTTCGTATAAAATATTTTCAGATTTCTTGCACTTCCGGTTATACCGGAAGTTGCCACCAACTTTATTTTTTTAAATGGAACACCCTGTATATTTTTACATATTTGAATTTGTCTGTGTTCAAGGTTTATAAATAACTTTACTTTTTGCAATTTGATTCGGTCGTTCTCGAGTTATTCGAATTTTTCTAGAAAAATCTGCTCCAGCAGACATTTGTTCAAAAAATCAGAAAACACTCAATTTTTGGGATATCAATTTAGGATTGAGAACATGCTTAAGCAACATGATGGAGTATGTTTTGGTGCCGAGAACTGCGGTCTAGAACGTTTGATCACTTTACTATGGCACGTTAACTTTTCAAAATTTGGAAGTACCATAACTTCATTTTTTTAAATGGCACCCCCCATATTTTATTTTTTAGTCGTCTTCGGTGTCTCATTCTACATCTTTTATATCCCATATGGCCCATACCTAATATTAATAGTTTGGGAGATAATTAGGGTTTTTTGAAAAATGCACACATATCATATGGATATTTAGCCTAGTGTGCCATGAAAAACAAGCCTTCTCAATGAGTTCTTGTCAAAGACTCACTTGTTTACGTCACTTGATGCATGTGAGCTAATAATTATCTGTTATGTCCCTTAATATTAGTACTGAAACGAGTTAAAATCGATAACAATAACGAAAGTAATATTTACACAAATCAAGAAATTCTTAATTTATTTTTTTTGCATGAAAAGCGCGACAAAGTTCGTAGTATGATTCCCAGATCTTCTTTGGCAGCTCGAATTGAGGTGTTGGGACTGGGCTCGAAATAAGCCAAGGTATTCACCTCTTCCGTTGCATTATCTACTACATTTTTTGGTCAGTTTAACACGTGATTAATTCGTCCAAAATGCAAAAAATTTGCTTCTATTCCTCTAAATTTACCTTTTGTCATCGGAGATAAATGTGGATAATTTTCATTAAACATTCTGCAAGTTCTACTAAGAACTTTGTCGCACTTTTCGTGCACAAAAAATAAATTATGGATTTCTTCATTTGTATAAACATTATTTACGTTATTAATATCCATTTTAACTGGTTTTAGACTCACAAGCATCAAACAACCTAAATTAGACTTTGACGTTTATCAATAAGTCATTAAACATTTGTTTTCCATGGCACACTAGGTTAATATCCATATGATATGTGAGCATTTTTCAAAAAACCCTAATTATTTCTCAAACTATTAATGTTAGGCATAGGACATATGGAATATAAAAGATGTAAAATGAGACGCCGAAGACGACTAAGTAATAAAATATGGGGGGTGCCATTTAAAAAAATGAAGTTATGGTGCTTCCAAATTTCGAAAAGTTAACGTATCATAGTAAAGTGACCAAACGATCTAGACAGCCGTTCTCGGCACCAAAACATACTCCATCATGTTGTTTAAGCATGTTCTGAATCCTAAATTGATATCTCAAAAATTGAGTGTTCTATGATTTTTTGAACAAATGTCCGCTGGAGCAAATTTTTCTAGAAAAATTCGAATAACTCGAGAATTGCTGGTTCAAATTGCAAAAAGTAAAGTTATTTATAAACCTTCAAAACAGACAAATCCAAATATGTAAAAATATACAGGGTGTTCCATTTAAAAAAATAAAGTAGGTGGCGACTTCCGGTATAACCGGAAGTGTTAGAAATCTGAAAATATTTTAGATGAAGAGAACATAATTGATAATACTTAAGTCTGCATTCTCAAATTTTTTGTTTGGCCAGAACCCCAGAAACGTCTAAGAACCGGTCTCGCTGAGACACAATGTATATTACGTAGAAATGTTCAGTGATTACAACAAACTTTGTCGCAATTTTTGTTATCGAACGGTTGCGAAGATATCGATCTCTAAAATGAGAGGCCATGACTTTTTGCACGGATAGTAGTAAAAGTTTACATTTCGTATTTTTTATACAGGTGTCCCAATTTCGTTGTCCGCATAGGCTATCTCCGAAACTAAAAGAGATAGAAAGAAAGTAGCTTACATCTCATGATCTCGTTTTTCGAGAAAATGCTAATGCCGAAAACTCCGAACAGTTATCGTCTGTTTTTCTTTCGCCCTATCGGCAAAAACTGAAAAATTTGCAATCGCGAATACCTCACTTATCATCAAAGATGGAGTATTATAAATAAAACATTATATTTTTTTAAATGGAAAGCATAGTTGGCTAGGACCTAAAATAATTTGTTATTTTCTTCTGATAACAAATATATAAAGTTTGTGGGATATATTTCTTATAGTTATTGAATAATTAACAAAAATTCATTTTGTTCTATCTAAAACTAATGTATGTATTTAAAAGTTAATGTTGCTATGGTGATAACCATACATACTATGACTATGATGGAATATAATGTATCAATTTTTTTTGTTCTTTCTAAAACTATCGTATGTATTTAAAACTTAATGTTGTTATGGTAAAAATGTTTAGCTTAAGTAGAAATCCAATGATATTAGTTAATTTTAGATCATTTGATTGAAGAGAACCAATCAGAACAACACTATACTGAAAACAGCCCATGGGCTTTGTATGGTTTATACTTATTTTTCGTTCATATTCTGGGGCAGCGGCTTTTGGGTCAGACGTCTTGTTCAATTTCTCTGCAAGATGTTAATGGATTTATCGCAACTGAAGCCAACACATTGACCTCATCCTCTTGCAGGTCATTTTGGTATGTTTTTGCACATGGTTTGGGGAAGGACCAAATATGTATTAAATTTTCTGCTAACCGGCTAAAGGTTCTTGCGTGTGGTTGTCTTCCTTCTGGATACCTTGTGAAATATAATTCCGCGGCTAACGTCGCATTCTTATCTGATAACATATAGCATTCCATCATGTTACATTTTTCATAATTTTCGAAATTCATTGTAAAGTTTTATTCAGTTTTGTTATACTTTGACACTTAACATGCTGGTGCTTCGTACCAGCACATAATGCCTGAGCTGTTATCGAATTTTTAAATATAAACTTTGGCAATTATTTGATACATTATGTTCCATCATAGTATGTATGATTATCACCATAACTTTGCAACATTAACTTTTAAATACATACATTAGTTTTAGATAGAACAAAATGAATTTTTGTTAATTATTCAATATCTATAAGAAATATACCCCACAAACTATATATATTTGTTATCAGAAGAAAATAACAAATTATTTTAGCTCATAGCCAACTATGGTTTCCATTTAAAAAAATAAAGTTACGTTTAAAATCTCGAAAATAAAAGATAGGGAGAAAATTCTACCTACGGCACTGAATTCTTTGTAAAAAGTAAGAAAAGAGTAAGAAAAGTTTTAGAATTAAATTCCACATGAAATGAAGTAGTAATGTATTAAATCCGCCAAAAGATTAAAGAAATCTGTCAAAATTTAGGGTACCATCACCCTTAATCAATCCTTTGAAATACCTCAATTGAGTTCAATTTACTACCAATTAATACCCTCCTAACGTATACCAAATTTGGTTTTTCTAGCTTAATGTGTTACGAAGATATTGAACTTAACTTGAGCTAATTTTTTATCTTTATCCTCTTGTTTAAACTTTACTATTCTTGGATCAGCATTATAAGCTAAATCAACTAAAGACCTTATCCGCGCCATTTATTCCTTCTTTTTTCTTAAGCGTTCTGCTTTATTTATTTTATCTACATATTTCCTTTCTTCTTTATCTTGACATTTATCTTTATCCTCTTCATCTTACCAAAATGAAAAAAATAAACCACTTTTTCTCGTGGCGAATCTAAATCTCCCAATTTAGGAACATGTTTTTTTTCGCACCATCGCGAATTTATATCAAAATAAAACGATAAAGCAATTTCATAAACCGCTTTTTTGCTCATCAGTTTTGATAGTGTGGGTCAGCTATATAAAAGGGTGGTCGTTCGCTCAAATTGTATAAGTCTCTGTCTATGTACGAATCTAAAGCTGGGGTGTAAAAATGCTTTTCCTTGTGATATAACTTCATAACATTATTACTTTGAAAGAGTGACCTATTCTCATTCTCAAACGTAAACACAAATTAACGCTAGTTTTATGGCTGCTCACTCACATAGAGCACAACCTCTTTTCATTATTTGTGGGAACTGCTTAATAGATAATTTTGCGAAAAAAATTCAACGTCAAAGATGTTATATATAAATGTTGAATGTTAGCTAATGTTGTGTTAAAATCGCATCACTTTATGTATATTATTTTTACGAAATAATTCTTAATTCCGTTTAGTCTAATTTTTGGATAATTAAAAAAAATATATATTTAAACATATTCATTTCCAATTTACTGTTTGAATAAGCATAACCATAACCCCACTCCAAAAATAAAACGTTTCATGGTCAAGGTCAATTTGCGTTGATTACTTTCATAACTTTAGTTACAGCAGGGTTAACTTTCCAAAATCAACATAAACTTATAAACTAAAATAAAGCTCTGATGTTTACTTTACATTGGTAATCTTTATTTTCATTTTTTAATACATCTTCCTCAGTTATTACATGGGCAGCACAGAATAACGTATGGATTACGTAATATTCGCAAAGATTTTCTTAAAACTTGTACATTCTTATATTACAAAATAAAAAGAATGAAAAGAAAAGAAGAAAAAAATGAAATTCGCCACGAATTAATTTACAATAATTAATAATAGTAAGTAATAAAAAATTTTATAAGAGAATGAAGAATAAATATCTCGTAAATTAAACTTAATAAACTGGTTTTACAGTTTCAACAATTTGATAAGGACTAAAAATAGCATGCGTTATTTGGTCGCCCCGCCGGCCGTTTGGGCAGCTTTTTTCGCCTTGATGATCTCAACAAGTTCCTTGTATCTTTTCATACAGTCTTTTTTGGTACGTCCAGGTACGCAATCGGCTATTTTATCCCAACGTTCTTGCGTGCTCGCGGGATAAGTTTTTAACGCTTGTTCAAGTAATTGTTGTTCCTGAGTTGTCCAAGGTTTATCAACTTGTTTTAGTTCCCCATTAGTCATTCCGCCGTTTATCGCAATTTTCTCATCATCAATTTTTTTTGATTCATCAGCTGTTACAACCACATTTCGTTTTTCCTTCTTCAAATTATCAAACGCTTGTTTATTCGCGGCTTCTTTTAAGTTATTTTTTGAGAAATCCGTACTTTGTAAATCTTTTGCTTTTGCCAATACCATTTTTGAATTAAATTTTCTTGTGTTTTCGGTAAAAGTACCGTGTTGGTTTAAAAAGTTAGCTACAACGTCCCAACGTTGATTAGTTCCCGCGGGAAATAAATTGACGGCTTTTATTAAAAGTTGTAAGTTATCGTTTGTCCATTCTGGATTTGCAATGTTGGTGTTTTGAAGTTGTTCCGTTACTTTTTGCGTGTATGTTTCTAAAACGGATTTTTTCTCTTCTTCGATGCGCGCTTGAGATTCACTCATTGCTTTTGCGAAGGCTTGTTTTCCGTTGTTTTTTAAATTTTTGTTTAATTCGGCTAATTCAAGGGCGGAGAAGACTTCGCAAATTTGATCAACAGCCATCATATTGTTAATACGTTCCGATTCTTTTTCTGAGAAATAATTGCTACTTTTACAAGTATCCCTAAATATTTTTCTCTCTTTTTTCAAAGCTTTCTTTTGAGCTTCACGTTCCAGCCTTTTGGCTTCAATTTTAGCTTTTTCTTCAGCTTCAGCTTTTTCTTTTGCTAATTTAGCTTCACGCAATAACTTTTCCTCCTCCTCTTTCTTTTGTTGAGCAGCAGTCTGGCGTGCTTTTTTAGCAGCTAACTTTTTATCTTTATCCTCTTGTTTAAACTTTGCTATTCTTGGATCAGCATTATAAGCTAAATCAACTAAAGATCTTATCCGCGCCATTTCTTCCTTCTTTTTTCTTAAGCGTTCTGCTTTATTTATTTTATCTACATATCTCCTTTCTTCCCTATCTTGACATTTATCTTTATCCTCTTCATCTTCGTAAGAATATTCTCTCCAGGATTTAAAGTCATACCAAAATGAATAAAAATACTCCACTTTTTCTCGTGGCGAATCTAAATCTCCCAATTTAGGAACATGTTTTTTTTCGCACCATCGCGAATTTAGATCAAAATAAAACGATAACGTTTTGAAGAAATCTTGTTTAATATCACTTTGTAAAGGTAAAGAATCGTCAAATTCGGGATCGACAGAATCATAAGATCGCCTCTTAATAGAATTACCCAAAGTTTCATAAGCCATTGTAATACAAGTAAAATAATCATCATCCGTCCTAATCTCTTCACCTTGAGCTTTTCTTTTATCCGGATGATGCTTTAAAACCATTTTTCTATAAGCAGTTTTAATGATCTCATCACTAGCTTTAATACGAGCATTTTCTAAACCCAAAACTTTATAATGATCTTGTTTCTTCCATTCTTTAGGATCCAAACTTCTGAGGTATTTAACGTCGACTTCTTCGATTTCAACTTCTTCCTCTTTTTGTTCTTCTTCTGGCGGAGGTGTTGAGGGAATTTCTAATTTTTTAACGGCGTGAGGAAGATATTCCAACGTGGGATCTCCGTTTTCGTTTCGCTTGAAGACGAAACGATACCGCAACGCGACTGTAGTACATTTTTCCGTTAACCTAACCTCACACATCTTTTACTACATAACACGAATGATCCCGTTGTAAAAATAAATCGTTTGAACACACTTTCACTGAATGTTTACGGAAATTGCGGTTGGGAAATAATGTTTTAATCTCTTTAAATGGTTTTTACATTACCCATGTGCTGCCGAAAGAAACGTCAGAAATTCTTCGAAAGCAACGTAACACGATAAAAATTCCCTAAATATCCCCAAACTTTAAATGGGGTTCAAACGAAAATCGCCTTTACTTACCAGAGATATAAATTCTAATTTCGCATGAATGCTTAAAGTGTCTAGGAACGTCTTGATACCTGCAACTGCGAGTTGTTTTCGTGTTGTTTCTGCATTTTCCGGAAGTTGCACCGGTCTGGACATGGATAATGAAGAATCTAGTAATAATACGGTGGGCATTTTTCCTGAATTTTGAATAAAATAACTTTTAAATTTGTCAAATTTGATTACTTAACCTCACACTTTATCGTTTACTTTTTTTGTTTGGTTTTTTCATTGATGCCAACATAATTTATTTTTATGTAACTCTTAAGTAAAATTATACGAACAAGTTAACTAAGAAATCAATAAAACATTTAAAGTAATTGAAATCTTGTTTCAATTACACTCACATAGGTCTTAAAAACTCTCCTTTATTTTTTATATTTAATAATTTTTAAATACTGCAATTTATTGCGCTTAGGCAACCAATTATGCGGCAGCGTAATGCACGTTGTATCGAATATACAGTGCTTCCCAAAAGTAACGGACAAAATTCCTTAAAACAATTAAAAACAGCTTATGGAAAAATCTCCCTTTTTTATTATTTTTTATTTATTTTTTCCTGAATTGAGTACAGTCAAAACTAATATTAGTTACATTATAAAAATTACCTTAAAGTTTCATAATTTTCCATTCAATTGATTATTGATAGTATCGAATTATTTTATAAACAATATTTGTTGAAAATTTCATTACAAGCAACTTTTATTAATAACATTTTTTTAAATAATTAATTAATTAATTTCCCTGTGAACAGTACGATACGATGATTGCGCGGAAAATCGGGAATTTCAGAGCAAATTATTGATTTTATCGAAAAATGTTTCGTACAATATTTGTTTAAAATTCAATTTGCAATTGATTAACTTAATACAAGTTTTTAATGTTTCCACTAGGTGGCTTTGTATACTAGTATAAATGTCAATATTTTTGGAATTATTTTTATAATATTTATCGTATTAAATTATTTTATAAACAATATTTGTTTAGCCTATTCCGAGGTGGTTCTAACTAGAAAATAGCACCAAAAGTAGTACACTCAGGTCTTAAAATTGTTGAAATTGCTACAAATATTGGTGCATGTGTTATATTGGTTCAATTATGGAGTGAGAAGTATATAGCAAATATTGATAGGCAAAATCTGTGGGTACAGGCGAAATGAGCTTGCTGAACGCGCTACGATAATGGTATCAAAAGAAGGCAGAATGAGGTTACAATATAGCCCAGGTTATTGTAGAAACGATGAAGTTTGCTAAAATATACAGTTATTTCAGTGTATTCACAATAATCCGCACAATAATCTAGTACTTATTGAGTTGTTTTATCGATATTGACAAGTTGATTTTCTTGGAAATCATTATAGAATATGTAGGAAACTTGGCTAATCATCCAAGAACTTTCTAAAAATACCTAAATATCTGAAAAATCCTTGAATATAAATGATAATCTTTACAAATTTCTAGAAAATTCCGGAATTTTTTGATTTTTTTTTTAGAATTTTCTAGGTGATATTTTAGAAATCGTTATAAAAGCTATGGATATAATCCGAAAAAACTACTAAATTTCTATATTTTTAGAAATCTTTGGAAAATAAGTTAGAAAATCCCTTGATAGTCTTAGAAATTGTTTTAAGTTTTTAAATAGTTTTTGATTACTAGAAATATTTCACACATAGTTGAAAATTCGAGAAATCTCTGAATATCCACTATAATCCAGATTATAGTGGATCTAGTGTACAGGGTGGGCCAAATTGGGCACTTTTGAAGGGAAACTCCTATTTCTATAAGAGATACAGCAAAAATGATATCAGTGTCTGAGGCTCGATTTTTATAAGAAACTTAATGGTGAAAACCGCATATCGATATCTCTTACGGTTTCAGAGATACAGGTTGTTTTTCAAAACAGTATATTTTCGAAAAGTCGTCCTAACGTTTTTCTTATTGATAAATCTTCTTTTCCTGGAACATTCTATATATTTTTGCTAATTCGACGATGGCATACAATTTCCTTTCCAAATATATAGCACACTTGATATTTCGTTCAAATCTTCTTAGAAATATACAACTTTAAAACTTATATATGCAGATTTTGAAAAAGTAGGCTTTGGAAATAAAAGAAAAACGAGATTACACAGGAAAAAATCGTGTCGTGTAAAAATTTTAGAGTAGTTGGTAAAAAGAACTAGAGTAAAAATTGTAATATCACATGGTAAAAATAACTCTAATGTACACTATATTTAATATTAATATAGAGTTCATATATTATTCACTTAATAGAGTAGTTTTTACAGTTCTCTAAAGGAGAGTTCTTTTTTACTTATGTTAGTGAAGTTATGTAATATATAAAACATTAAATTTTACACTAGACGTGTACTTTTCCTTCGGGTACTTCGTAGGCACCGCACTATTTTGCTCGGGATTACTCGTCGGTACCACGTGATCAACATGTGGTGTGATACAGCTAAAATTTAACGGTCATCTACTAAACGAGTCGGAACTCGATAGCGTCTCGAGACCTGATTTACGCGATATAGAAAGAAAGAACGATTATTTTTATTTTAATTATGTTTGCCAAAATAAAACATTCATGATGTGAAATTAGTGGAACTTCCGGAAGATTTTACATACAAGTTCCTTGTGAAGATTGGTAAGTATGTGCAACTTGGTGCAACTATACATATAGGAAACTTATAGAAGACTCATTAGATGCAGTTTTGATGGTGACTCGGTGGAAACTTTAAAATGAATTAAGTATTATATATATTATATATGTATATAAACAGAATTTAATTTTTTTAAATTTAAGTTATAACAATATATTACAAGTAAAAATAAAAACAAATATTTTATAATTTTGATTTTTATTACAAACGTAAAACTTCCCTAAAAATACTCCACTTCCTATTAAAAATTAACACTAATAAGTGGAAGATACACACTATTTAGTGATATTTTGTCAATTAATAGAGTAAAATTAGAGCGAATTTTTAATAATTTACACTGATTAGATTAGAAATGTATCTAATTAGAGTCACGACAACATCTAGTTAGATTACATATAATACACTGTTATAGAGTAACGATTTTACACTATTTAATAAACACCATCTTCTCACTATTTAGTGTAAATTTTTAATCTATTCACCTACACTATATAGTGCAAAAAAATAACTCTAAATAAATTGGACCGATCTGATCCATGTTTTAGAGTTGATTTTTACTCTATATTTTTTCCTGTGTGTATTTATAAGTAGTATCCAGATAGTTGGTTACAATGAATTAAAACATAAACTCATAAACAAAAAGCAGGTTAAATTAATAAAACTTATCTTATTATAAAATAAGAATAAATACAGGGTGTCACACAAAAAACGCCCCAACCTGTAACTCTGTTATTTACATTCCGATTTTCATGACCCAGGTATCAAATGAAATGGTTTTATAAATACTATGATTCATGCTACAGATAAATTTTTTTCAATGCCATCTTCAATTTCAACCGATTACTAACTTTTATTTTTCAAATTGCTGCATATATTTAATTTTTATTTGCTGAGCAGTTTGATGTCCTGCACTACTATGTAAACATGTGATGCGCACCATTACAATCAGCATCGACATGTGCATAGAAAGTTGAAAATTTCTTAGACCAATGTCTACAGGGATTCACTGATTGATGAACCAGACATTGTGCGCATCGAATTGGAAATCACTGACCGGTAACGGACTGAACTGGGTATGTGCGAGTTCTGCAGTCGTGGATGCGGATGGACGACACTAAAAATTAATTTAACCTAAATTAATATTTCCCTACACGGGGTGAGTGAATCCGGGTGAGTTTTCCAGATTTGTGCAAACCACGCATATTGGAAAAATTTAGCAAGCAAAAGGTTATGTTTTAGAAAGGCAGCGTTCGGAAGGCATGATTGATAATCATTTGGAAATGTATCAAAACTCAAGAAAGTTAAGGAAATCCTTAGGGATGCTAGAGTAATCATTTGAAATTCCAGATTTACTAGCATTGGTTTGATCATGCAATCTCCTGAAGCATTTGAACGCAATAACAGGGTTACTCGATCTATTGAAACTTTGAAACCTGGAGCTCGTTTCTCTTCCTTTGATATTATCGTTCTACTTCGTGAACGCTTCCAGAAAAGGCTCATCTCGTCCGAAAAACTTGTTGTGGCAGATATCCACCTTCTTCGATTATATTGTTAGATTCCATCTATCTTGCTGCAGCTTCATGGTCCGCTGAAGCAGACTCTCGTGATATTTTGATATTATGTAAATACCTCGTTCTAAATCTGTCATACCATCCTTAACTTCTTTTAAATTTACAATCTGTTCCTCCATAAACTTCTCAAAAGCAATTGTACAATTTTCTTGCTTTTGCCATTACAATGCTTGTGTTCACTGAGCTGTGGTTTTAGTTTTGGTCTTCTATCTAAATTACGAGCGCTTTTTCTGTTTTTCCAGATTTAGGTATTCTTAAGAAGAACAATAGATATATCGCTACTATTATAATATTGCAAACTGAACACATATTACTAGATGCACTTGTCCTACACATTAACATGTGATACGCACCATAACAATCAGCATCGACATGTGCATAGAAAGTAGAAAATTTTCTAGACCCGTGTCTACGGGGATTCACCGATTGATGCGCATCGGACTAAATAAATAAATAAAACGAAGTACATTTCTTTTTTTTTAGAAACATTGTTTTTTTTTAAGCGGGTATCCCATCTTTGTGTTTTTCGTTTAATGTGTATTTTAGATTGTTTATGTAACTTTAAACCTCTTTTTCTGAAAACCACATTTTTCTAATCTATGTGCATGATGAATATTTTTTAATTTTTAGTTTGTATCATCCTACTCCAAGAATGTACAGGGTGGGCAAAGTTGGGTGTTATTATAGGCTATTTCAGAAACTATAAGAGATACTAAAAAAATAGGTGCCATGTTCCGGTCTCTTTTTTCGAGATTAATCCAATGCCGCAAACACTAATCCTCTATCTTCTTATGTTTTTAAGTTATAGCCAAAAAAAATTTTCGTGATTTCAAAAAATACTCATATCTCCTTTATTTTTCCAATTAGAGAAATGAGGTTGATACGTTCTTAAGACACTTTTTTAAGTAGTGTTTTTAGTAGTAAAAGTAGTGTTTTTAAGTGGTTTCATACTGCCGTTGAAAAATTTTAAACATACTTGATGATTTTTGAGATACAACACAAAGTTGTATTTTTTTAAATACAAACTATACTTGATTATGATGTTACTGAAAAGAGCATACTTTTAGCTTTCCAATGATGTATCGCATGTATGGTGTATTTGCAGAAAATAAGCGTTAATTTTCAATTTCAAAATAGTAAGCGCCATGGTTCAAAATTTTGATTATAGTAGGCGGGTCCGAACAATAAATACTACGTAGTGGCTATAATATATGAGTGGTCAGAAGTAAAGTGAACCAAGTCCACTTAAGTTCGTTTCGAGAAAACGGACCGTTTGATTTCGATCCATTTACTAATTTTTTGTAATAGGCAACGAAATTTTTAAAGTTGATATTTTTTATAAATAAGTATCTACACTATTGTTACTTAGGTGTTATTTAAAAGAAACTTCATTATTTTAGCTATACAACCGGTTAAAAGAAAGAAATGTGGACTTAGTTTACTTTTACTCTGATTTTTTTTTACCGCAATTCGATCAAGTCCAACTATTAATACGGTGTGAAAAAGTAATAACAATTTCTTTTATAGAAACATTTTTCTTAAGGAAAATGTAAGAAAAGTAGTACAGTTTATAAGAGTTAACCTCACAAAAGAAATTAAAATACTAGAAAAAACAACAATTTTATTCATAACGTATGTGCACAATCATTAATAAATGCCTTTATTAGAAAATAAGCTTAATTGTACAAAAAAAAAACATACAAAAGAAAATAGGCGAGTTCCAGCTTGTACTAGTTAGTACAGCTGCTCTAACTAACCTAAGAAACAAAAAAAGAAAAACATGACTCGGCCAAAAATTACAAAGCAACAGCTAGATACAACAACAAGATTGCAAAACATGTCAGATCAGCGTTTGCCCCCATGTAGACATTGTTCAAGAAAACAAGAATATTTCTGTGTAAATTTAAACCTTC